CCTCCCTCCTCCTCCTCCTCCTCCTCCCCGTCCTCCTCCTCCTCCTCCTCCTCCGTCCGCCGGCGTGCTGGGGGAGCGCGTCGGCTCCGGCCAGGTCTCGGGGGCCCGCAGGGGGGCCGACCCCCTCGCGTTCCACTGCGCGCGTGCTCCGTCCGAGCGCCGCGGCCGCCGAGCGTGTCGTCCCGCACACGGAGGGTCGCGCAAAAGCCCTGCCGGCTGCTGGTGGCGTGGGTTTTTGTTGATTGCTTCCACTGTGTTCCATTGCGGCGGACGTTCAGGATGATACTAATGAGGATGGTGATGATGATGATGATGAGGAGGAGGAGGAGGAGGATGGTGGTGGTGATGAGGATGATGTTGATGATGATGATGATGATGATGATGATGATGATGATGATGATGATGAGGGATGAAGGGGGATGAGGGGGATGATGGTGATGATGATGAAACTGATGGTGATGGTGATGGTGATGGTGATGGTGATGGTGATGGTGATGGTGATGGTGATGGTGATGATGATGATGATGATGATGATGATGATGATGATGATGATGATGATGATGATGATGGTAATGACGATGATGGTGGTGGTAGTGGTGGTGATGATGCTGATGATGATGGTGGTGTTGAAGATGATGAAGAGGAGGAGGAGCAGGAGGAGGATGATGATGACGAGGATGATGGTGATGATGATTGTGGTGACGATGCTGGTGCTGATGATGATGCTGATGATGATGATGATGATGATGATGATGATGATGATGATGATGATGATGATGATGGTGATGGCGATGGTGATGGTGATGGTGATACCGATGATAACAATAATTGGATTTGGCGATGTGATGATGATGGTGATAATGACAGGGATGGTGGTGATGATGACGATGATGTTGACCCATTATTGACATCCCGTCCCCATCATCCCCCGATTAGGAAGCCCAGCATAGCGGCCTAGCACACCTTGTGTTCGCGACAGCGCCGAGTGCCCGCAGAGCCCTCGTGATCGTGCAGGTCGCGAGCCCCACATTCGTACCTGACCCTGCGCTGCTACAGTTCCTAAGGCGGCGCATGCCCAGTGGTCACAGAAACACGTGCTCAGGCTTTCGACGCAAGTCAGAAGTATAGTACTTGCACGTCGTGGCGCGCATCGCACGTGCTGTTCCCCAAACAGCTGCTCTTACTTGTGTTCCTACGAAGTTGGATCGGTGCGTCGAGGTTTCGCCGCGTCGCCGCCCGTTGCCGCCTCGTTGCCGCTCACTTGAGGGGTCCGTCGAGGTTTCGCCGCGTCGCCGCCCGGTGGCGCCTTCTTTGCTGCACACTTCGGGGTCCGCCCAGGTTTTGCCGCGTCGCCGCCTCATTGCCGCCTCGCTATCTCCCACTCAAGGTTCGTCGAGGTTTCGCGCGTCGCCGCCCGCTGCCGCCTCGTTGCCGCCCACTCGGGGGGGGGGGGCCGAGGCTTCACCGCGTCACCGCCCTTTGCCGACTCGTGGCCGCCCACTTGGGGGGTCCGTCGAGGTTGCGTCTCGTCGCCGCCCATTCCGCCTTGTTGCCGTCCACGCGAGGAGTCCGTCAAATGTGTTGCCGCACCGCCGCGTGTTGCCGCCCCGCTGCCGCCCATCGCGCTTGGGGGGGCCGTCGAGGGTCTACCACATAGCTGATACAGCACAGCTTACACCACACAGCTTGCACCACGTACAATCGGACCGAGGTATAAGATCGAGGTCGGTTCGGGAAGGGTACCCTAGAGTTCGTCGCGTTTGCTGGGTGTTCTTGTGCACCGGGAGGAACTCTTGGATGTGCTCTCTGGTTTGGCCAGCGGAGGGTCTCGTGTTCTTGAGGGATGTTCTTCTGGCCTAGGTCCGACTGTATATTGCATCACGTACCTTACACGTCCACAGTGCAATGACTTACTGTTCGGGACCCTTGCTGGCTAACATGGTGTCAGGGCCACTGAAGCTGTGTGTGTCCATCCACCCTGATGCGCGGAGCTATACGTTGCTTCAAATGGTGGTATTTGATGGGTCCGTTTGGTTACGCAGCGAAGCTGTCAAGGACACTTCGTGACACATGATGTTGAGACGCTATCGAAGCTTCCAGTTCCAGCTTGTGCCCTGTCTGTCGAATCATATTATGCAGTTCTTCGCCGTTGCCATGACAGCACGTTGGAGGAGCACGAGCACTGTGGTCCTTCCTTTCCTTCCATTCAGAAGGTATCAGGCCCCACTTTGCTCGAGCGGCGGGAAGCAATTGTTAGGCCCCCCGCTCCTTCCTTAACGCTCACAAGTTTCGGTCATATCCTCCGCCCCGAGAGCAGCCTTCTCCTATTCCTTCTCCTCAATGCCGACCCGCTGCCGCCACCGCGTGCGCAGGGGACTCTGACTGCCGTGAGGCCGCCCATCGGGCACCATTTTCCCACAGGCTCATGTGAGGAGGACGGATTTCTCATCTCTCCTCCTCCTCCTCCTCCACCCTCCCCCATCTCCCCTGCCCTCCTCCT